GTATTGGCAGCGCACCGCTTGCAGAATGTGCTCCATTCGAGGGTAGCGCCTATCTTCGTCGTATTTCACCTGCAAATAGGGCAGAATTTCCATCTTAAATCTTACAAAACAACGAATGTTAGTTCGGTCGAGTCTTTTCACAACAAAACCAACCCTCCGGGCTCCGACCTCTTCTAAGCTTACATATACGCGATTCGAGAAGTTTCAAATATAATGCACTTATACATTGAACGGAATTAAATATAATACATCTAAAATAAAGCTGTGATTCCTTTTATCTGTGGTGGACAATAAAGTATTAATTCATTCATAAAACTAAGCTGTGATAGGTCGCTTTTAATTTAATATACTCGAGCAACCCGAGTTCAAATCACGGTGCACACCGACACATAACTTTATTTTTTTATAAACTTGACAACTTTTTACTCTAAAATAAAACATTACTTATACATGGGGCCATTATCAATAATGATAACGTATAACTTTAGGACGGAAGGCTTAATTATAGAACGATAATCTTAATTTCACTCCTTTCACTGAGTGTGATGTTAGAAGGAACATATTGTCGGTCTCGTCGAATTCCGTGGGGAATGACAGCGTTAGTCGTAACATGATCCTACCTATCCTTGACCTAGTTACTCCTGTTATCACCTATATCCTGAATGAATCTATCTCCACATCTAAATTTCCTGAAGCATGGAAAAGTGCATTAGTTCCTCTTCCTAAAAAGGCTCATGCCGTGCACTCTACCGATTTCCGCCCTATCTCCATTCTCCCTTTTCTATCTAAAGTCCTAGAGAAACTCATTTTCCACCAATTAAATCTCCATCTGAATAGAAACTGCCTTCTAAATCCTCTTCAATCCGGTTTCCGGTCAGGACATAGTACAACTACAGCGCTGGTTAAAATTACTGACGATATTCGACGAGGTATGGACAATAGACAGCTCACAGTATTGGTACTATTGGATTTCAGTAATGCATTTAATTCTGTTGATCATGACATTCTGCTGAGTCTGTTACGTTCTGCTAACATATCTCCACCAGTGGCCGGCTGGTTTCAGAGTTATCTTAGTGGCCGACAGCAGCGTATTCGCATTGATGGTATGTTTTCATCCTGGCGTGAATTACGAGCTGGAGTGCCTCAAGGTGGTGTGTTGTCTCCATTACTCTTTGCTATCTTTATTAATTCAATCTTAAAATTTACTACTCTCTAGAATATGTATGCAGACGATTTTCAACTGTACACACATTTAAATCTTGAAAACTTGCCCACTGCTGTTACTGCCATTAATGGTGACCTGGCGGCTATTAGCGAGTGGAGTAAGAGCTATGATCTTAAGATTAATCCTTGCAAGTCCCAGGCCATCATTGTTGGCGGAGCTGGCATGATTTCAAAGGTAGATTGGGATAACCTTCCCTCGATAACATTAAATGGTGTTGTGGTGCCATACAGCAAAACTGTTAAAAACCTTGGTGTTCACTTCGACTCTACTTTCTCATGGTCTCACCAGTTAAAGGAAGTTAGCAGGAAAACATTTGCAGCCATGGGTTCTCTGCGGCGCTTACGTTCTTTTCTCCCCATTCCTAGTAAGATTATGTTAGCACAATCCTTACTTCTTTCCCTTCTCGATTATGCGGACGCAAGCTATCTTGATTTAACCGAGGACCAACTTAACAAGCTTGAGCGAATTCAAAACTTAGCTATCAGATTTATTTTCGGTCTACGCAAGTATGACCATGTCTCCGAATATCGTACAAAGCTCAAGTGGTTACCCATCCGCCTTCGCCGGAATCTGCATATTGTTTCTCTTCCGTACTGTGTTTTGTTCAATCCTATGACTCCGAGTTATTTGAAGGAACAGTTTAAATTTCTTGGTCATGAGAGACCAGAAAGAGTTCTGCGATCAGCCAGTGAACTCATTATACCCGCATAATTTCCGGACCAATTATTTTAAGAACTCTTTTACGGTCAAAGCCATTTGCCTATGGAACGCGCTTCCTCCACAAATGCAGCGCTCAAAAACGTTACGCAAGTTTAAAACTGACGTTAAAAATTATTATCTGTCACTGTGTTCAAGCTGAGTATCACCGACGACATTTGTATATTTATTTTTTATTCTTTTCTTCCTGTATATATTTTTGTAAGTTATTGTACAGTATATGTTTAGATTTATGTATGTCTATTGTATCTTATTTCGTATATATTAGTATATTATTATTATACAAAAATACAACATATTCGTTTAGTTTATTTAAATATTAGTATGTAAGTTTATCATTTACACCACCTACCGATGTCCAAATTAAAATATTTTTAACCACAAGGTTGTCTGGAAGAGATCGCTCCTTAGCGATAAGACCGCTTTATTGTTTATACCTCTTAAGTTTATAATTCTGTAACATTTCCTTTTATGTTTTTTTGGTGTTCAATAAAGAATATAATAATAAGATTATCGCCGTCGATAGAACACGTCTGAGGGACTATGAAGTTGAGAACAAGGGGGAATAGTCAAATGTTTCGCTGGAATCAAAATGTAATCTCTTCCAACTTTACACATACATAGTGAATTCTTTCTTTGCTGTTTTCTTTGTTGTATGTGGTGACTCCGTGGCGCAGTCGTCAAGATATTGGCTTCGGCGTCGGGGGTCGTGGGTTCGTTTTCCACACGAGACAACTATTTGTGTGACCCACAGGTAGTTATTTCGCATCTGGGTGTTTGTCCACGTAAAATTTATGTATGTAAAACGTCCTTGCAACACAGGATAATGTTATACTAAAATGAGGGCAATGTTAAACAAAAAAAAAATCTGAAGTTGAGACCAAGGGGGAATTGTCAAATGTTTGTGCGGGAATCAAAAAGTAATCCCTTCCAACCTTACACATACATAATGACTTCTTTCTTTGCTGTGTTTAAAACATCACCCTTTCTTTTTTACAAACGTAAATTTCACAGAAACAGAAATAGTTGTCCCATGTAGGGATCGATCGCAGATTCCCGACGTCGAGGCCAATACCTTGGCACTGGGTTTCTGATGACTCCCATCAAAAAACGGCGACACATTCTTTTCCAATGAGCCACCGATAAGTAAAACACCTCTACTACTGTACTATTTGCGACACTTTAAAGTACTTGGAAGTACCCGTCTCATTTGAAAATCTGAGCCACTTTATCAAGTCTGTCCGTCTGTCAACAGGCTGTATCTCATTAACCATGATAGTTAGACAGTTGAAATTTTCACAGATGTATATTTGCCACTATAACAACACTAAAAAACAGAATAAAAACATTATATTGCTCCCATACAACAGACATTTTTTTTTTTCGATTTTTATAGATAATGCTACGGAAGTCCATTCGTGCGCGAGACCGACTCGTACTTGGCCGGTTTTTTTACAATGATTACTTCTCGAATATTTTTGAAAGTTAATAAATAACTCATCAATGTTATTATGGCATTAAATAACCAAACGGTTCAGTTAACTTAGGCATTTCTTATGTAAGCGAGACAAATATAATATAATAATAGACAAATGTAAGCTTGGGTGGTGAATAAAAACCTGTTTAAATTATAAGAAATTCAAATTTCGTTAATATCGGGACCATCTAGTGTCTCTTGTGTTACAAATCCTAAAATCAACATAGAAACACGATATAAGCTTAACCGATGTATTTACTTTAATAACTGTGGAAACGTGTGGTGGGAGGGAGACGGATAGCGTTTTGGCATTGCGGCGAAAAGAAAGGACAATACCCTCGCGACTGGACTTTTACCTATAGAAGGTTTTATCGCCAGGTTCAAAGATACTGTTGATTAGATAAAATCTTTCAACAACCGTCAGCATGAAATCGGCAACAATTTTGAAGTTCAAGTGTACTAAAGTGGAAAGTAAATTAATACTTTGCAATTTTGCAACACATATTTATCAATGATGTTATATAATATACATATAATATCATTGATATTAATTAAAATAAATATGTAAGTATTGACTTCACTGCTAATAATGAGAATATTATTGTCTTCGATTTTATTTTGACAGCACTGTCTATCACTAGCCATAAAAGATTACTGTATATGTCAGCAATATTGATTTATATAAAAACGGTTTCTTTAGCTATTATAATTAAAGCTAGTTAATCTCGTTACTCGGTCCGATTATTATCGTTTTGTGACATAGTTGTGTGTCGTTGTTAAAGTACTATACTGCCTTATAAAAGATTTTTAAAGGGCCAAAGACAGGAAGAGACTACCTAAAGGAATTCTAAGCGCGCATGAGGCGTTCAAACTTACAACGCTTCTGAAACTACGAAATGCCAAAACGCAGATTTTATGTATCTTCTTCCCCCTCTCCTTGACCTACACTAGATGGAGTCGACACAACACTTCGTTTCCTCACCTTCTCACTCTACCAGCCGTCAACTCAATACTCGCCCCTATACACAGATACATCATTTTTCACACGGACCATCTAAATCTTTCTAAGTCTTCCTCTAGCCTTACACCCTCCAACAGCATGACTTACATCCCTTCTGACCGTACCATTTCGAACTATCACTCAAGGTTTCCCTAATACTCTTATCCCTTCTAGTCACACCGTGCATCCGTCTTAACATTCGTCAAATTTATGTGTCACTAAAGTTCACTAGTTTGGATCATCATAATCATCATAGCACCCGATTTGCATTGGTGAACATAGACCTCCCTACAAACTGCCGAAGCACCATCCTGAGCTTCCTGCATCCATCGGCTTCCCGCACATTCTCACAGGTCTTCACTCCATATAGTGGAGGGTCCTACACTGCGATGGCCAGTGCGACGTTGTCACTCGACAAACTTTTTTCCCCATTGGTTATCAGTTATACGAGTTGTAAGTTCCGATAAAGCCACTTACGAAGAAATGTTTGTCATACCGTCGCAAACACTAACAATGTCAATAAATCTGCACAATTTTCGTTGGTTTGAACTCATCTGATCATGAGGAATGAGATCATTTTAGAATTGGATTAAATCAGTTCCACTCACCCAACTCAATACTGCGTTGTACACCTCCCTTTCCTCCCTTACATTTAGCTCGTCCTTCCTTATCATATTTATGAGCTCCGGAGCCGTCAGCTGTAGAAATTCCTCTTCTCGACACACCTGGGAGAAACAGTAAAAAAAAACTTAGCACTTGACATATAACATTGGCACACAATTGAAATAAAAACATATATAAAGGTGATACACACACACGGAAGTAGGAAGGCATTTTTGTCATTTAACGATGACCGATCAGTTTGCTGTGTGTGGATTATAAATTATATGGCATGATAATCTTGCTATGATTTTTGTATAACTGATTAAAGCTTCATCGAACGCAGAACCGGTGGCTAGAACCCACGGGCTTGAGGCCCTCCTCAGTGGGTAACGCACATGTTTATTATGGCTTGTCACCTACGGGCCATCGAGGACTTGCTATGAATTATGGACAACGCTCGGATATGCCTGCACCGTATCATAGCATCAAAAATCAAAATAAAACTTAAAATTAAACAAAATATATTACAGGATAACGTTATTATTAAACGGTTTTATTTAGCTCGATCTGTACGGAATTTGTTTGTTTATTTGGGTCAAAATTAGAAATTGAAATTTAAGCACCTTCCCGTTGTCAGATTGATCTGAAATTTGGTACACACATTTAATTTAGATGACAATACAATATTGTAGTTTTCAGTGCACATAAAATAAAACCGTTTAACTTTAAAGTTTTTAAACGGTTTTATTTAAACGTCTAGGTTCCTAGTGCGGCACGTCAAGGCGTCAAAGTTCCAGATGCAGTAAAATAAATGCATTTGCAGCGAACCACCGCCGTCAGACGAAAAAAAGCGTATTGTTTAGTCTAAAGATAAAACGTCAGGACGTTCTAAACGGTGAAATCTTCCAAAAATTAATAGAAGAATAAGCGAAGATTCATTTAATGAACGAAATATAGATGACGCGAGTATAAAACAATGCCTTTACGCACACAAGAATACAGTAAGTGCCAAAAGAGTGATATGTGTTATGCGGCGTCACGGCATCTAGACGTGTATATGATCTTAGTTTTATATTATCTTCGTCACTGTGAATGATTCTGTGTTTACCTTTTTAAAATTAGGTTTAGAAAATCTTTGAGTGTTACTCATTGTTTTTTACATTTTGAAAAACAATTAAAAAATCTTTTCTATATCAAACTCATAACTTCCTGAAATTTGGTAGTGGCGGAATTTTGCACCGTACGCATGACGCGCTTTTAATGAATTGATAAGATACGAAAAATTAGGAACTACGCGATCCGTCACGATTACGATACGAGCGGTATACGTCACGATTACGACACGTGCGTACTGAACGACGAGAACAATCTAATATAATATACCTAACTATTTGGGTGCAAAACATGATTCCAAGATGAAGATGAAAATCCAAGTAATGACTTGACCGAACTTTAAAGAACTCGCGGAACGATGTTTATAGGTATCTTATCCTTAGCTAACGCACACATGAGCACATACGCGGCCCTACCCACTGTGGAGGGCCTCAAACCCATGGGTTCTGGTGAGCCCACCGGTTCTGCGTTCGATGAAGCTTTAATAGTCTCGGGACTGAAAGCGTTAACATCAGTTAATACAAGAAACAACATATAGGTAGGTATCACAGGTATGTGAGGCTGGCGTGGGGAGGAGGAGCTGTAGTTACAGGAAAATATTTAAAGCAAATAGCGGGTAAAGTACCACAGAACCACTATGGTGAAGCTAATCGCGTTGACTTCGAGGTCAATATTCCTTTCCGCCTGCATCCAATGCCTCAATAGACAACGAGTAAATCGTATGCATTTTTCAATATGTTAGCCTGTCACAATATCGCTCTCTCGTTCGCGCCTTCTATCAAAACGCTTTCTGTCTTGCTTCCACTGCACGTTTGTGTATCGTTGCGTTATTTGTTTTTGTATTAAAATTTTTTTTCATGTTGTTACCACCGTTCCGTGATAGTTCAATTTTTTCACACAAAAGTACAGGCAGAAACAACGGAAGCAACGTCACAGTAAACTAATTTAGTTTTTGAGTTGGCAGTTACTATTGAGTGGGAAATCGGTTTAATGATCTTCTTATATGGTGGTAAACATTGACCTGATGTTAAGTGACACACAGTCAGACACACAACAGCTGTAGGGTTGCAGTTGCTCTCGATCTCATAGGGTCAAGCAACAGTCTTCACTGTTGGACGAATGGGCTGGTCCGTTCGGGGAAGAACCACGACCTGATAGAAGACCTGCGTGTTGTGGAAGTGTTACACTTCTGCGTTTCGTCTGGTGAGTATTCAGGGCCTAGTATGCCGACATTAGCAGAACCCGTTGTCGCAAATTTCCCCAGCTTGGGCGGCGGTTATCACTTAACATCAGGAGAACTGCCAACTCGCTCGCCACCGTCTAACATAAACAATATGCAAAAAACCAAACACAAATTGTTTACACCGAGTACCAAGCAGACGCCAATGCTAGTACTCGCTTACCTCCGTGAAATGCCTCTCGATGAACTGGTTCGCCTTCTGCTTCAGCTTCACGCAGCCATGCTGCTCGGAGAAGTTGGCTATGCCGATGGCGTTTGACGGATCCAGCTGTCGCTCTAGGAACGCGCAGCAGGCCTCGATCACGTTCGAGATCTGTGGAGCACGCGCGTTCATTTTGTCACGTTAGAGACCTTCACGCGCGTGTAAAACTAATCAATAAAACGAGATATACACAGGTGCTTATAAAAGTAATACGTTTTTAATCGATACATTTTAACCCGAATTTTTCAAATATTAAGGAACTTTAAGGAATTATGCAATTATACTATATAGACTTTTAGATTTTACGCGAACATTATAAACATTTAATGAAACTAGTTTACGGATTTTATTGCGATTTTATTTTGATTTTGAAATTCCCGACGTTTCGAACCCTTTCCAGTGTTCACGGTCACGGGACAGACATGGTATTAGTGAACAAAATAAAAATGATAACAGCGTTGAAGACTGTACCCTGAAACCCTAAGAACCAAGTAGACCTAAGCCGATCAGGAGATATATTTCAAAATCTTTTTCTTTACATTTCCTTATATGAAATTTCGAATACAGGAAATTGTACCGCATCAGAATGACTAGTACGATAGTGGTATTCCCCAAGTGTCTTATACGTCGTAAACTGTTATGACGCCACGTTGGTTAGTGCAATGTTTCTTCGCGTATCATTTACCTAGCCTTTCATCTTCTAAAACGGGGATTGTGACGTACGATCCAGTGGAATTTTCAAACGACTTCAAGAGACCGAAGTGGAAATGGAAACCGACCCGATTGTATTTTTTTATTTGATACCTCAGAACTCTGCCATTTATGAAACGATTTTAAAAATATTCTTTGCATTGAGTTCAGCTAGGACTAGTTCAATTCAGTTAGGTATTGGATCTTGGACTTTGGAGATACATCAGGTAACTCCTCAAAATCAAATAGAAAATGTGTAATGAGTGGGATATTTGAAGTCGCATTTGTTAATATATATGTTGTTGTACTTATACATATTTAGGTTCTTCATATGCCCACTGCAAATGTGTTCATACCAGCATCGACATCAGGCAAGTGAGTTGCATTAAGTGGAACATAATTCTGACTAACATAAAACTGACTTGAGTTGCATTTTTAACTTATTGATGCATGAATTCAACAGGAATTGCCACTGAAGTACAAAATCAATTTCAAAAAATCGACGTAGAAACGGTCACCGCATTTAATACCTATACATATAGTTATTGCCGAAACAAGAGCATCGATAAATTGTATGTTATAGCATCGATAAATTGTATCTGTTACTCGACATAAATACGCAGATGTTTCGCGAGAAATACAATAACATTTAGCTAGGACGAGAGACGAAAAATCATTGCCAATTTTATTTAAAATTATACTCGTGAATATTAAACATCTGTACCCTGTCACAATTTACGCAAATACGCGAATCTATATTTCAAATCGTTATTTAACATACATGCGCTTTTTCAAGTTCACAAATATTGGTAATCGATCTGATAAAAACCACATCCGTTTTATGGTGCAATGACTTGATCGTATCTCTCCTTATTTCGCGACCGTTTCGAAACGCAAACGCTACGCGAAAAACAACCTTAGTACACAGGGTTAAAGCTAAGTTTGCGGCGCGGGGCCGATTTCCGCGTAACAAAATCACAGCTCTCATACATATTTTATTTAAGCACGTAGCGGACTATATTATTTGGAAGAATACCGGCCGGTGATCAACCTTCGCTTATCACCACGTCGGCGAACGTGACGCAAACGACGAAAATCCGTTAGAATTATTTAAGACTGGACCAGTGTTTTTATCAGTTCGCACTGGGGCTATGCAAAATTATCTTGTTCAGACGACGGAAGATAAATTGTTAGTTTTCCTTATATGAAAATTGTAATGTTGGACGAAAACAAAACGATTGATAGCTCTAGTAAAATTGGTCTTCGAAACGTTAGCCTTGCAAAACTTGTCGATAAAGTGTCCTTGTTTTTTTATGATTTGTTTCAATGAATAAATATTATATATTTACTTTCTTTTGAATATTCCTAGATAAATTGATAATATAAGTCCTTTGCAATTGATTATTTTTATTTCTTCCCGATTTTAATAAAAAATTGCTTCCGTGTATATGTTAGAATTATTATAAATAGCGGGGTTGACTGGTAAAGAATGCCAATAGGCATTAAGTCCGCCCTTTTTAAGGTGTTTCAAAAAAGAATAATTAAATTATTTAAAATTATTTTTCATTCAATAAAGCAGCCCAACATTCGAAGAAATGGGCAATTTTCCTTATCTGATATGTGGTCAAATGCCGGGCAGACAATTAATAGTGTTAATTAACGCAATCGCTAATTACAAATCATTTTCCTGCGCTACCTTGTTAGGCTTGGAACATGTACTGCGCAGGTAACTCGTAAAAATAGTAAAAAAATCGAACATCTCTCATCCACGTGGAGAGACGGAGCTGATTGATGTTTTTTCGTAGCCAATGACCCTGAGAAAGTGCAGCGTCATTGATCCACGTTAATATCAGCGTGTTAGAGAATGTTCTCGAAGCATTAATGCTTCGAGTTACAATCTCTGCTTTTTTTTTTTTAAATTATTTATGTATGAAGGTGGCAAGCGAGCTAGCGGTTTACCTGATGTTATTTAATAACCGTCGCCCATGGACATTTATAAAACCCGTAGGGTTGCAGGTGCGTTGCCGCCTTTTAATAAAGTGGGTTACCTCACTTGCCAGACGAAACGCGAAAGTATAATTTTTTTTTCTATCAATTCACACCGGTCTTCTGTGACACCATGACTCTAATAAAAATAGTTGTTAGTTCATCCATGTCTGTCGCAAACTTTTAGATATACGAGTATCTGCGCTAAGACGATGGAATGACGTGCATATGTGCGGGTAGTCGATGGATGCAGGTGGCTCAGGATCGTGTTTCGTGGCAGTGTATGAAGAGGGCCTATGTACAGCAGTGTGACTCTAACGGACTGAAAAGATGGTGAAGACGACTAAAGGCCAATTTACATTTCTATAATCACCTGGAACATCGTGGCAGCGGGCAGAAGCTGGCAGACGGTGACCTCCGTGATTCGAACTTTGCCCGTGTACATAAAGTACACCAGCCACGCCATGGCCGAGGGGCACACCCCTTGCAATCGGACCCGGGACATCTCGCTCTCTTTCAGGCCGCTAGTAAACATTGCCTGGATTGAAAATTGCAATCGTAAGAGTCCTCCTTCTTCGTTCTCCTGCCCTTGTCACACACCAGCTGGGGGCGGCACATATCCTTTCCCCCGAGTTGCCTCTATCAGCCGTCATCTCAATTCACCTTCACAGACCATCATTTTCACAGACATATCATTCGTCGCACGTTCCCACCAAATCGTTCTCGGTCTTCCTCTAAACAGGACTAGTACAAAAAATAAAACGGGGCTTGACAGAAACTTCTTCACCAATCATTGGTTTCAAACCTAAGGTTTGAGATATCCCCAGCCACTGGTATCGCACGACTAAAACCCACTTAGACCTATTCGCGAATTTGAATCAAACGGGATTTCTGTTAAGAGAGAGACATACTCTATATAGAGACGACACATCAAAACCACGTTTGAACGTAACCAATTCAGCATTATCACTTGGCGTCCATTTCACATTGTAATAAGTCAACAGTGAATTTTAAACAAAGTGTTATAGGGGATGGTAAAAGTTCAGGCGGTTTGGCAGTTATTAAGTAAATTACCCTTGGCGATCCACAAGCCCGTAGGATAGCAGTCGTGTCGCCAACTGTTAAACGAGCAAGCCTTTGTTGCCTCTCTCAGTTGACAAATCGCAGAAGTATAAACATTTCTATTATTAGTATTCTGTGAGACTGCGGTACTTCCCCGGACGAACCGCATCACCCGTGGAACAGGGAAGCCGCTGCGTGGCAACATTAAACACAACCAACAATATTAGATTAAAAAAAAAGCGATGCATACCTTAAAATAGGGGCTGCCGGCAGCGAGGACAACTTTGTGGACGTGGAATAGCTCGTTGCCTACCTCGAGCACGACGTCCGTCAGCATGTGATGTGACCTCATTGTGAACAGCATCTGTTGACAATACGAGGCTACGTTGACATAATTATTGAGTAAGATCAACCTTGGGCTTGTTAAATCTTTGAGATAGTAAATGATCCTTTGAAACCAATAAACATATTTAGTTACGTGAATGTGTTACTTCTGTTGCAGTGTCATTAACACCTCCAATTATTACCTTGGGTTGCTCGGTAATAACCAAAAGAATGATGCCGGCCCCATCCACTAATCCGTAAATCCGTAAACATACTTTAATCTAAAAAAGTGATCTGAATTGGTCACAAAATGGTCACAATTGGTCAATTAATTTTGATAATTGGATAATGTTATTAAGTATTAATTACAAATGTTGCAATCAAAAAGATCCTAGTAAATTACGAAATGCATACAATTTTGGGTCGCTTATTAGATGGGCCGATATGTTCTCTTTTTTCATTCTCTTTGCTTTCTCCCATAATTTATGAAATGTCCTCCTTTTAATATTTTTTCGATTTGTTTTTGTTTCTATGAATGACTTTGTTAATTGTTTACTTATGCCCAGTAATGAAAGTGCTTTAAATTTGTCAGTTCAACGAAATATTATTAAAATAACATAAAAAGTATTACAGAAAAAAATAACGTTCTATTATGAATGTGTTGCTCTGTTTTAAGGAGATTCTAGTTTTAGACTCTTTTTCATATCATTACCGTGACAACCTAATCCGGAATAACATCGATATAGCAAGCAACGTACGCCTTATAATTCAATCAAGTTGTCTCACTCACTTTCCTTGTTACACGTCTGTGTGTTTTTTTGAAGTTCCCGCTAATTGACGCCTCCGAAGCATAGACTATAGGAGAATAGCCAAATGACAGTAACCTTATAGTAGGCTTACACCAGTGAACGCAAACAAACATTGAATCATTATTGTCGCTCCAAAATGGCATATAGAAAAACTATACCGTGACGGCGCGGGACTAATAAACCGTACCGCGAGGCACAAATGAGTTGGTTTTTGTTTGACGGCGCGTGATAACTGTCAGTGAGTGTTGTGGTGCTATTTATTAACAATCACTTGTACGAACGTGCGACTTCTAAGTTTTATTAGTATTCGCTGGCTTAAACTGAATTCCGTGATCGTAAAAGCCATATAATAATAACAAGAAAAATTTCGATCAAAGCGTCATATTTATATTAGATACATAAGTATAGACGATAGGAATATGTAGAATGATAGGATATACGGAGCCATCAAACTTATCAAATTTACAATTCCGATCCGATCGCATTGGCAAGTATTTCTATGACCTACAAACAATTTTTTTAGTCACAAACAGGATCTTGTCATTTTTAAAAACATCTTTTCAAACAAAAAAGTATGCATACTAAGTTCGACCATACAAGATAAAAAAATGGGTACGGCATAAGTACACATAAAAGTTTTATTAAAATTTATAGAAAAAATGAATATTCGAGTTCAATTCCCGCAGCGGCAAAAAACTCTTCGGACATTTTTTCTACAAATTTTAATGTTTTATAATACGTAATCTCTGCACTATTATAAAAATTGAAAATAAAAGTTTTACATTGTTAATTTCTGTAGATAAATGAACAAAAACCTTCGCGCGCTGCTAGATTAAAAAAAAAAAAGTTTCAGTTAAAAACTCACAAATACTTTTATGTATTGAGACCTTGAAAAAACTTCCCTACAAATTATAGGGATTGCTAACATCTGGGGAGAAGTAATAACTTTTAAAAGAGAAAAAAAAACAATTTGCTCGATGTGTTTCTGCTCAAAATTTTAAGTCGCTTGACATTATATTATACTTATTACAAGAAACAGTAAAGTCGTGATAGCTCATTGTCCAGGTGCTCGCTTTTAATTCAATATACTCAAGCTACCCGAGTTCGATCCCCGGTGACGGCACCAAGTAATTGTTCATTTTAGTGCTGGCTTATCACGCGCTCAGCGGTGAAGAAAAACATTGTGAGGAAACCTGCATAATTTCAAAATATCAACAAAAAAAATGTTTCGTATATATGTGAAGTCCGCCAATCCGCAGCGGAATCCCGTGGTGGACCAAGCCCTAATATCCTCTGTACAGAGAAGACCTTTGTCTGGCAGTGGACCACGTAGGGGCTGTTACTTTAATTACAAGTAACACGATCTGACCATGCTTGCTTCCACATGGTTAGACGAAGTTCGCTTTATACACAGCACATTCATTTTAATCCCATGCCTATCATTCGTCATCATTATTTCAGTTTGCTCGATACTTGCATAAAACTTCCAAGGGGCCAGTTTATCTGCAGATAAGCGACCCAAACGAGTTACTCGCCGTAGATAACGCATCGAAACGATACGAAAGTTCAAAAGATCGACGCACTAAATAATTACCTATGTTTTTAATACAACACTGAATCGATTAAGTGTAATCATAGTTTTGACGTTTGGAATAAGTAAAGCGAAACGAAGTGATTCAATAATGTAGTTGACGTGGGTACAGAAAATCAAAAAAAAATATTACCTCAATTTAAAACATTAGCCATCTCAAATTTGCAGAAAAAGTACGAAAACATTGTCGCCGCTGTGGGAATCGAACCCACGTCTTCGGCATTCGCGGCCTGACGCTCTAGCCAATGAGCTAAACGGCTGATTGCCCCACCGACGAAAATCTTAATGTCTTTTATCTACATTGTTTTTTGGCGTTTGAAGCAATGCTTGGCGCATCCATTGTATATAAAAGCTGTCGTTCCGTTAACAATGACATATAGATGACGAAATGAATGGATTTTCACGTTCTTATAGCATTATCAAGTACATTAAGAGGATCGTGCTTAGAGGCAGTTAGTGGGGGAAGCCTATTTACGGCATTGGACTCTAACAGGATGAATTGGTGATGATGATAGTAATTACTTTTTATTTCTATGGAAGCGCTATTTACATTATTACCCTTGCGCATATGACAACTGTCAATTTATGCTGTGTCATCGTGTAAATAACTCGCCCCGCATTAAATGAAGCCGAGTAAAGCAAGGCGAGGAGATAAGAAAATATGTTATTGAAGCTAAGCCGTTTCGAACCGAAAACTATACCTATACTATAATCAAATAATGTTGAAAGTAAAACGTAAATTTCAGTACTTATATTTTACACGCTGATACTTATCCTCGATGATGTTTTAATAAAGGTGACGCATGTCCATACTGCGCGACGTTTACAAATTGTTCCAATTTGCACTATATGACTAATATGATAGATGATACGGATGATACGGAAAGAGATATAGAGTCTATAGATTTGCAATATAATAACACTAATTGGCGTAATTTAAGTGCCTCGGCATTGGTGCGCTAGTGTCCTATCTACGTCTTAATTTGTATATAATATCATTGCTTGTCCTGATGGGGACTATGTGAGCTATAAGAGGCTCATTTTATAAACCTTAAGAGATTATAAGTAAGTTATTGAGTTGTCATCGGTTCTTTGTACATGTGGAAAATTTCAAATCGTTCTTGATCGTCTTGAAGGCGGTGACCATTGACAGGATTTGGTATAACAATCGACTCGTTATAGTACGTATTTTGTTTACGTTTTAATACGTACTTTATACGATTCGTTGCTATGAATGTTCTATATATAGTTTTTATATATATCTAGAATTGGTTGAAAATCTTAATGGGTTTTTAGGTTATCCCGCAATAAATATTACGTCTGCATTACGACAAAATATTGCAACTAACTAAAGTTATCATTGGTAAATTCATAATTGTCAGCATGATTAAATAAAAATAGAAATAAATATAATCTTCTTTATACATAAAGTTATTGTGTACTTAACAGGTTTAGAGAATAGATTTATAACTAATTTTATACCCCAAGTGACCTAAGAATATAAAACTCCAGGAGTTACAATTTAATTCAATGCAAAAAAATACGTCAACTGAGGATTTACGTGCTAAATTATAAATACGGAAGTCAATAGAGTTTCGAAACGAATAGATTATGTTTAAAGACAAGAGACAGTGATCAATAGAATTCCCAAGCTAAGATTCTTTATGACTCTACAATAGTGATAATTATACCAATCGGACTGGTTAAATTTGAAAGTCGATGTAATATGACTCAAGTTCAGCCTTGGCAGAGGTTTTAAATGGTTTAACGGTAGTAGGGCCACGCAGCAGCCTCGGCTGTTGCACGAATGGGCAGGCCCGTCCGGGTAAGTACCACGACCTCACAGAAGACCAGCGTAAAGTGGAAGTATGACAAATACTTTCGCGTTTCGTCTGGTGAGTGAGGTAGCCGGAGCCCAATTTTCAAAAGGTTGTCAACGCATCTGTAACCCTCGAGTGTGGCAGATGTCCATGGGCGGCGGTAGTCAACTTAACATCAGGTGAACCGTCTGCTCATTTGACAACTTTTCGCATAAAAAAAAATTCTAAACAGTCCCGTGACCGTGAACTTAAGTGTTAGAAACGTTAAAAAATTAAAATCATAATTAAACCAGAAAAATTCGTGAATTTATTTCAATTAGCAAAATGTGGTAAATATGTAAAGTAATGTAACAGCTCTCATCTGTACAGAGGGCATTAAGATGTAATCCACCAAGACTATCTTCGAGATATTTTTGTATTATTATAATTAAAATATACAGGTTTCGTCATGATGTTAACTTAACCGCTGAGCACGTGATAAGTCAGAACTTAAAATAACAATTAACAATTTCATTGCTGTCGGCACCGGGATTTGAACTCAGCTTATTATACTCGATATTGAATTAAAAACGCGCGCCCAGATTATGATCTATGACGGCTCATACAATGAGCTATCACGGTTCATGTAATGAGCTATCACGGCTCATGCACTGAGCTATCACGGTTAAGAGTTGTTTAAATGAATAAAGATCTATCATTTATTTTCAATCATTTCAGGGCTTGCACACATCACTCGATGGTTTCGAGAAACGTGAATCAGTATACCGAATTATTTTTTAATAACTTTTTACTACTATTATTTTTATTATTTACACATTAC